GGGTGCGGCGTTCTGTATACTGGGACGTGAGAATGAGTTGGATGGATCAAGCATTGTGTCTCGAATTATCAGGTAGGACACTGTCTTTGACGTGTGTTGGTTTGAGACGACCAATACTGACCGTGCCGATCAACCTTGACGATCTTTTCGTGACGAGAGATCACGCGGAACGATCCTTCGTTAGGCTTTTTCAAAGGTTTAAGTACCGAATCTACTCGCATGAAAGCATGTGAAAAGGTCAACAACTCTCAAGGAAGAGCGATGTTAGAGTTGACACTGGAGGCAGTGTTCGCATGTACGTAGATAGTCGTTAAACGTCATCTGATATACACGAAATCGCTGCTCCATTGTGTGAAAAAATTCCCCAGGCAGATGCAATGTCGTGCCGTATACAAGTCCAGAAGCGGAACATTCGATATCTACCGTTGCTGCTCTGTAATCGCCGTGTCGTCTCCAACTAATTCCATCCTTTTATGCGAACCGAATGGAGAGAGGATGCTCAAGGACTATGAGAAAGACGAAGCAATACATATAGCAAGTAAACTGTCAAACTCATGCTTAGCGAAAACTAATCTGTCCAGTATCAGTCAGCAAGGTTTACAGGTGATGATGTGGCCTTCCACATAATCACCAGTTGAATCTCCTCGGTTTAGTTACTTTGGAGTGTAGATGAATTTTCTAACGTAGCAGTTCAATTTGATTCCAGTAGGTGTAGGTCGAACGCTCCCTCCCCTAGTCCAATATCAGAACACAATAATTCTAGGAGAAAATGGTCTATTATTATATTAAAATGGAAATACAAACATTTACCTGACAATTAATACACCTTCCAAGTCGAAGTTACTCAGATGAGTATCCGAGTTCAAAAGAATAGGTGATGCTAGTATTAACCGCCACGATATCAAATCCAAATATAGCTGTAGCCATATTATATATCAAATTTAAACAAAATGTGTACAGTTCAGAAGCAAACATAAAAACTTCAATGTAAGTACAACATATAGAAATAATAACAATATACAATGATAAAATCTCAAAATGGAATCAAATAGAGTACCGAAATGTCAACAGAAAGAGTCAGTCATATCATAACACAAATATATATACATGGACGGATTTTCCAAAAAAAACAAAACATTCGAAAAATATTCTACATGGAGAATCTATCAAATATAACATTAAATAAATAATCATGCAAAAAAATACATTAGTTATTCAGTACGCGTTTGTTGGAGCGTCAAAACCCATGGATTTGATATTCGACGAAGTATCGATTAACTGAAGTTTACGTGATTTGAGTAGCAATTCATAGAGCTGTAGGGAATCGATTCCGATTAGGGCTATGGGAACATCAGCAGCGATGAACCACCATATTTGCTGTACTTGATTCTTCAGGTTGATCGTTAGCTGTGGTGTACCGTAGGTAGGAACGGCAGAGCCATACTCAGTTCGCGGCTGAAGCATTGTAGCTTGAGACTTGCTGCAACCAGACCATACGACAGAAACTTGGACACCTGTTGCCACTCGGTGCCTAGTGTTGGTGCGAAAATCGTGCACATAAAATAAGCGAGCAACCTGGGGTGACGGGAGAAAATGAATTTACCCGCACCTTACATTCTATTATATAATAGCTATCCACCATTTAGAAACGTTGCTGCAGGTAAAATATCTACTAAACTATATTGATTTGATATATGCAACAGATAAGTTAAAACAATGGAGATAGATGAATATTAGACTCACCGCAATCGGCTTTCATTGTGAATAAATGTTAGTTCACCAATTTCAATGACACGAGTCTTATCAATATTGACTATGATCACCATTACAGACCAATCATATGCCTGCCACAGAGGAAAAACTTGGATCCATACAAAATAATATATTTGATGGCGATTTCGTGGTAACGAAAGACTAACGAAAAGAAGTGCGGAAATAGAGAGACAGTGGAATCGAAATGGCGGAAACACAAAGAGAAATTTTTGCACGTACAGAGTACGCATAAGAAACGGATCTAGTAAAACAATCACTGGTACATTTGGTTACAATAATGAATGTTTCTATTCAACAAATCGCGTCCTCTTCGTGCAAGTAGATCACTACAAGTTGTTTCAATTTGAAATACTTTACCAGGCGAGGTCACCACAGCCCTCTCAGTGGATAGCTTCAAGAAGAGACTTGATAAACACGTATTCACATACGGATTATCGTCTCCACCTCGGTCCAGCTGTACCTCTTGCATGTCTTGAGACCTGTTAGTTGTCATTACTGTCATCTCTCCAGATCAATAACCTGATCTATCTCGCCCATTATCTTTGTTTCGTCCCCCTTGCTTACACTTCAGTCATGTCGCACAATCTTCACCTCTAATTTAAAAACAAAATTATTTATTTATTTTGTTATGAAATCTTATTAGCATTAGACATTCATTCTTACTATTCTCTAAACTGCAACTAGCCGATCTTTGGCCTGGTCAGATGATAGCTGCTGGTATCTAAAAATCCTAATGCCGTAAAACGAACGCATTTATTCAAATCACGGGACATACAAATCCACAAACAAGTGACAACTGATTTGAACTTGTGTAGTCGAGTGGCTAGACCCTGATCCGTTGGAAACTACCAAACCCCTGGAACAGTATCAAAATAACAAGAAAGGTTGGAAAAGGAATCGACTGGTTTATTCCAACTCGTCAAAAGAAGTTGGAATTATTGGCCATTAGACATATTGGACATTGGACACCATACGCAAATATACAAGTTCGACGTTACCTAGTGCTCTTGGCTAGTTCGCTGTTTTCCTTTTATTTTGAACTCAAGTGTGGTATTCAATCTTTCGTATCCGTGAGATAGACTTGGAATGATGTACTTATACGATTTAATAGATGAAATAAGTATTTGGTTCATAAGAATAATTAACAAAGCGTCATTGCATAGTATTATATTTATAATTGTGTATGCAGTGGTATTGGTCTAACCATGAGTCTGTTACATAGGGTTCTATTCTGTATCAATTTACGAACATGGTTCATGAGTACAGAAGAGATGTTTAGGTTTTGGGTATTCAAGCGTGGTTACATGTGACTCGGCAGTCACTGTTTACTTTTTAGTAAGCATTATGTTTGTAAAGTGTGATGGGAACAGAAAATGTAAATTGTTTAGTGTACGTTATTCATTATAGAGTTATGGAGATTGTTGTTTGTCATTGAAATCATGAATAAATCATTGTAAGTGTATAGTCCGAAATTAGTGATTCGGAGATGCCCAAAATAGAGTTTTAGAGTGATGCGCCCTGTAAGACCTGTAAAGCGTGAGTTTAGATTAAAAGTATATTGGTCAAGTACAGTGTTTACAGATGCTACGTTTCAAACATAATTTGTCACTGTAAACTCCAGTATTTTACTTTACCTGTCACTTGTTTGTTATGCAGCAGAATAAGTCAGTTATTCATTTAATCATGTTACAATGGTCAGCAGAAGTTTCTGAGAAAATCTAACAGGGTTTGGATGATGAAACTTTATGTGGACCGAGTTGTTATGCATATATTCATAATTTTAGTGCCACCTGTTCTCTTTATTGAACTTTCTATCTATTCCTCTATTTATCATGCTTATTTGATTTTTCGGTGGAATGTTTCGTTTCATTTTGTGTCAACTGTAAAACTACTATTTAACTAGTGATCGATCTTCTAGACCTTTTTCACTAGTCTGTGATATAACTCTTTAATGACAATAATGTTTCCCTGTTTCTTTTAAAAGTTTGATTTTTAAGCTGTAGATGTTTAATAGGTTGGATACATTTTCACTGTTACCTCTCATAATATCTTTTTTCATCTTGGTTTTTTTTCACGCATGGTAATGCTATAGATCAAACGTCAGTGACTTAAATTTTATTCGTTCGATTGCGGCATACCATAACACTTATTTTGTATGCGCTTTTTCATTTGATTTAAGTTGTGGAAATGAGTCGATTGTTGTGTAATTTCGTCAGACTATAATTTATAAACGAACGACCACATTTGTGAGACCGAGTCTTGTGTTTTTACGCAAAGGCTGTCCTATTTGATGGTTACATACCATTTTGGCAGTATAGCTGGTGTGCGTTTGTTGAAAATCCTCAACAATAATTCCTAACGCTTTCATCCAGCTATAAACCTTATTCCTCATGCCTCACATCAATTTCTAACCATCTTTCAACCATACTTAGTTGGTGAATTTTCTTTTCGGCACTGCTCCAATGTGGCCTTCTCTGTAAATTTTAATTTTCTCCAAAAAATATGTGTCGTTATATGACAAAGTGATTGATTCATATTTTCACTTCGAATTTTATATATATATATATATATATATATATATATATATATATAATGTTTATGCGTGTCTCTATCTACGTTCCCCATTTGCTTGTTATTTCAGACTTTGATGATGTCATGTTGATCGCGCAAGTAAATCACAAGAATTAGGAACTAATCGAGTTTGTTGCTCATCAAGTACCAAATGAATCACTCTCTTACTGTTTTTAAACAGCTAAAACGTTTTCCCGGTTTACGTCATTTGGCGTAAGAAATAAAATTATTAAAATTTGGATTGGAAATTTAGAATAGGTCTGTTCGATAATGAAAAGCTTGTTGTAACACACAAAAGCGCCGGTGTTGACGTTGATTTGGTTAATTATAATACACCTGGAGTTTATTTTGCAGCTTATAATCAAGATGGATTTGTTTTAAACACTGGTACCAAGGTGGTTGGACCATGTGTTGCTTTCCCTCAATTCGCTCTTAGCTGGAATGTATGTTGTCTATATTAGATCAATTGTAGATTTAAACTCTTTTTTTTTCAAGGTGAAAGATGCTTTGGATATTTCAGAAGAGTCCTTATCTTTACTTTTCATGCTGGAGCCTCCACTTGGTACGTGTACTGTTTAGTTATATTACTAATTGCCTAACGATTATATCTGCAGAGGTTCTCATAATTGGTAAAGGAGAAACAAAAAGTCCAGTTGATTACCGTAAAATACTGAAAATATGCTGGGAACATCGTCTACCTGTGGAAGTTATGCCAACAGTTAGTGTTCATATTTTTACGCTTGTAATATTTCAGTTTTTGTAATGTCCCTGAAATTCCTGGAGTAATATCGTTCCTAACTAAATTCATCTCAAGCCTAACTGTAATCGAAATGGTTATTAGTAATTTTATCTAGACAAAACTTGACATGGATTCTTATGTCATTAATGAAAAGAGTCTAGATTGTGAAATTAGTAGATAGCATCAGTGGTCGATGGGGAAAATAAGCTTAGTAGCCATGATTTAAAGTAGTGTGTAAGTCAGTGACTTTAATTTCCCTGTTGTTATTGAATCATTTTGTAATTTAAGTTCCCATATGCTGCTTAAAAATGACATAAGATATTATAATTAGCAGTTATTTCATAGGTTCGACTCATTTTTCTAGAAATTGAGACTCAATTGACCTAAAATCCATTATTTTAAGATTATAATACTGACTAACTTTAACCAGAGCCCTTATGTAACACATTCAACTTTAGGTGCTGTATCATAATAATTATAAGTGGAGTTCAACCTTGTCGGGTCTAGGCAGTAACTACCAAAGACAAATGGGTGAGGTCGCGCAAAACCCCTAGATCAATCAGAGTTAGACATTAACACCGTTGGATGCCGGCCCAGTGGTCCGATGGTTAGGCGTTCGCGCACAATACCGAAGGTCCCGCGTTCGAATCCTGCGAGGAGCAGGAGTCTTGGATACGCACTGCTGATGAATCCCATACCAGGACGAAACGGCCGTCATGCAGTGCTTCCAGGTTTCTAATGGTGGTCTAACAATGATTGATTGATGATTTCAAATGTGTAAAAAAACACAAACCTCCAAAACTCTGCCTCAAAATTATAAATTCATTGTTGGATTTCATTGGGATCATGAATCAATCAATGTTGGATTGCAATCAGACACTCGGAAGTACTGGGCAACCTAGTACAGGACTCATCAGCAGTACTTTTTCACAAACTACGCAAGCGGTAATCGAACCCCGGGGGCCTTCGATTTCGCTTGCGAACGCTTAACCTCCAGACCACTGAGCCTGCATCCAACGATATTAATTATCTAACCTTATAGCAGCTATACACTGAAGAATTTATGTTGTTAATAATAGTTTGCGTACAAGCAACGTGGCACTTGGTACGTACTTACATCAATTCAAGTTGCTATATCTCATTAACACCGAGATATGGAGTTGTCAGGCTTAATCTAAGGGCGGCAGAGCTAGTTACAGTATTAGTGGTAATGGAAAAGATTGGGCACCGAAGATAAGATAAGACCCGAACCAGGTAGTTTACATCTGCTGACATGGCTCAGTTCGTTTGTCAATAACTTCGTGAATTTGTGCCATGATTTGTTTTAGCTGCCCCTAACTTTCTTCCAGCAGCAGTAAGGCTTCCAAATTCATGAAGTGTAAATTGCGTTGGTTCTTTATCTTGACAAGGTTGGGGTCAAGTGAATGACTCTACTCAGATCCTGTATGTGCGTTTTGGAGACGCAAAATACATCAGTGGCGCGAGATCATAATGACCTTGCTAAGGAAGCCTGTTATCCTATTCGGCACAGAGTCCAAACACTAAAGGCTCCAGCGTGAGTTTAGAATGGGGTTTCAGGAGACCAGGAATAACGTTTCGCGAAGTTAAAACGTTTGCATCAGCGGTGCGAGGTGATAAAAGAATAAAAGAAGGGTTGGTCGTGGAAATTAGAGAGTTATTAAGTGGTGTAGGGAGGATTTGGTTATGACTAGTTTAGACTCGTGTTCTTTTACGAATATGAGAGCTGGTGTCACTTCCCCTCTGCCCAAACTTTGGAGGGGTGCTTCTTGAAGTACCTGAAACACAATATGGATTAGTGTTGGTCTTAACGACGTTGGAGCTTGACTGCAGAGCCAAATGGACAACTACTTAAGGCCGGTTACTCACGGTATTTTTATTGGCAGATTTTGAAGTGTTGGCTCCGCTCTTCAAAAGGCCTTACTGCTGGAGACAGAAATCCATGAGGTAAGGTGAAGTGTGACATTTTTAAGGTCGATCTTTTTCAACCCCTTCCTTCCTTGTGAGAAGGCAGTAAGTAACATCGCTGCAGAAGCTAGTTGTCCGTGAGAATCATCTTACTGCTGTCACACCCCTCTACAGTCAGCAGTACGACTTCGCCCTCAGATATTGATTTGCGGATTTTAGTCTTACCGTTCTCCAATCGACTTGCCTGACATAGTAGGTAATATGCAAAGGATTCTTAGAAAACAATATTTACTTATGCTTGAAGTGTGTGACTCTTCATATTTATGTGCAGTTATAACTTATGCCATCAGTAGAGTGCCACGTTTTATGTACTTTTCTAACCTTAGCCACACTCCAGATAGCTTATAGCTGTACAAACGATATGAATACAGAACTATGCGATTTTACTAATCTCATATCACTTCCGTAGATAAAACACATTAACAACAGTTGTTAGTGATAGGGAGTGAAGTAGTCGAACGTGTAGACCGCTTCACTTATCTTGGGAGTCTCATCAGTGCTGATTGCCTGGTGACTGACGAAATCTCAGCACGGATACAGAAGGCTCGATTGGCTTTTGCCAACCTGCGTCACTTATGGCGTAGGCGAGATATCCGTTTGCTGACTAAAGGACGAGTGTACTGTGCAGTGGTTCGCTCCGTCTTACTTTATGGCTGTGAAACATGGCCAGTGAGAGTAGAAGATATGCGTAGGTTACTGGTTTTCGATCATAAGTGTCTTCGAAGCATTGCTCGTGTATCCCGGGATAACCGTATAAGCAATGCTGTCGTTAGGAAACGAGTACTAGGAAAGAATGGCAGATCAATAGATGAAGTAATGAAACTTCATCAGTTGAGGTGGTTGGGACATGTGTTGCGTATGCCTAACCACCGACTGCCTCATTGAGCTTTGTTCTGTAATGTAGGAATAGGTTGGAAGAAAGTTAGGGGCGGCCAAATCAAAACATGGCACAAATCCATGAAGTCATTGATGAGTGGACTTAACCATGTCGGTAATTGTCGACTACCTGGTTGGGGTCCGCGAGATGATAATAATCGATGGTTAGAGACCCTGAATCACATGGCTCAAAACCGTTTGCAGTGGTGCAGGTGCATCCACTCTTCGTGTTCTCTCAAATCCTAATCTTCTAGATTCTTCAACCCCTCTAGTTTTGACTTTCTAAACTTATCTCATTAAACCATACTTCTTGAATAATATCTTCTAATCCTAACCTCTCCGATTACTTCCAATACCCTTACTACCTCTTCTACTATTGGATTTGAATTGACAATTATATCTCTGTGCTGATGTGGTATGGCAACATGAACTGATGTACTTACGTACGAAGTTCTACGTTGCAACTGACTGACTGACTGAACAACAGTTGTTATATTTTGCAACTAAAAACATTTGAAAAAAATTTCATGATAACTTATACCGTTTATTTTTACCTTAACTATTTTTTTTTAGCATCATGCAATAGGAACGTTTAATTTTTTAAATTCAGAAGGTCGATATGTTGCTGCCGCGGTTATTCCACCACGTCGTTTAGATATTTATGATGAAGCTGATCAAAAAGCTAGACATTTATTATTAGAAAGAGAAAATCAAGAATCAAATGATGAAACACAATTATTGAATTCAACTAATTCAACTAAATTGCTGCTGAAATCAAATGATTTTAAAGGAGAAATTACTGTTTCACGTTCACCGTTGATAGGTTCCAGTAAGCTAGAGTCATCATCATCATCATCATCACCAACTTCCTTGCCGTCTGGTAGTAGTAGTAAAGAAGAAACGTGAATGTATTGAAATGTCAATGTTTGTATATATGTATAACTAGACATAAATCCTGTTGTTTTCTCTGTTTTGCATAATAAACACGTAGATAGCACAATTTTGTTCTTAATGGTTCTATGAATAAATTTGTATCTTTATTTTTTTTACGTTGTAAACTTTAACTACTTAAAATGTTTTCAGTAATAAAATGATATCATTAAAAAACACTGGGAATATATGGTTTCGGATAGATTTTTTCTACATTTTTAAGCTCCACTAAATAATCTTTTTGAAGGTAAGAGTTCAAACTTCTATTTCATGTAGATATGAATTTGATTTATTAGGTTGATGCCCCTAAACCTGGATGTTCATTGTTGGGCTTTACACAGTTGGTGTAACGCACAATCTATTATATAAGTTTGTAGTGTATTCTCTGTATCGGATTTGTAGAAATTATTGAGTTTCATGAAGGTTGTTGAAATTACTTATGTATTCGATTCACGTCATTGTTGGTATACTGAATAGGCGTGTGGATTCTTTAAAGTACTCAAAAGCTGTTCAGCAGATCTCATTTGATGTACATAATTACTATAGGTTCTGACATCAAGCGTCAGAAACGTTCGAAATGAACAAGAATTACGGCTACAGGTGCCATTGGTCACATGAATTTTGAATTTATTGAGACAAATGTAAATTTTTTTTACAACAAAGATTGTGTATTCTATGTTTAATTCTAAAAGCCACAGCATTTCCATTACCAGTCAGTCAGTCAGATGCAACGTAGAACTTCGTACGTAAGTAAGTACATCAGTTCATGTTGCCATACCACATCAGCACAGAGATGTAATTGTCAAAGTTTTAGAAGTAATCGGAGAGGTTAGGATTAGAAGATATTATTCAAAACGTATGATTCACTTAGATAAGTTTACAAAGTCAAAACTAGAGTTGTTGAAGAACCCAGAAGATTAGGATTTGAGAGAACACAAAGTATAAGTGCACCGGCGCCATTGCGAACGATTTTGAGCCATTTCATTCAAGGTCTCTAACCATCGATTATTATCATCTCGCGGACTCCAACCAGGTAGTCGACAATTACCGATATGGCTAAGTCCAATTGTCAATGACTTGATGGATTTCTGCCATGTTTTGGTTTGGTCGCCCCTAACTTTTTTCCAACCTACTCCTACATTACAAAACAAACCTCGTCGAGGCAGTCCATTACCAATGAATTTTAAAGTAAAATATCAAATCGAACTTTTGTGATTTTTTTGGTGTTCATCGAATTTCTTCAAATGAATCATTGTCGGGTCGTAATCGCCAAGTTGCCTTTTCATTACTACCACAAAATGATACTATTTGAAAGAAAATATCAGTATTCTACTACTGAATTTCAGCTGTTGTTCTATTTCATACTTTTGTCTGTCATTCGGATTCTTCAAATATTAATCAATCTGTTTTACAAATGCCCCGTGTCTCACCTTTAGTGAATTTAGCATCCAAATAGAACTATTAATTCAGATGGTGGAGAAAATTTGTAGCTCAGATGGATGATTTCGGTGAAGTTTAGGTTCTCTGAGCTGAATGTTTTGGTTGTGGAGATTTTATTATTGTTCTACTGAACAACATGAGCACTAACTTCAGGTCAAGAAGTGAAGTATACGTTTGACCCGTAGCTTGTCCTGCTGACCTCGATCTTGATTGGTTGTTATTGACCTTTAGCCTGTAGTTCTTTGCACCTTTGTTTTTATTGTATCCCCCTTTGATCTGTTTCTTGATCCTATGTTGTCTATGAATTTTCTGATTGATTGGTGAGTTGGGTCAATGTCGATGTGTTTGTTGATTGCTGATATTGACCTGAATGCACAGCTTCAAAAAATTACACATTTAAATTATGAATCAATCACTGTTAGACAACTATTTGAAACCTGGAAGCACTGGAAAGTCGTTTCGTCCTGGTATGGGACTCATCGGCAGTGCACATCCACGACTGTTGCTACTCGCAAGACTTGAACCCAGGATGTTCGGTCTTACTCGCGAACGCTTAACATCTGAACCTCTGGGCCGGCATCCAACGGGGTTATTGTTTAATTCTGTGGAATTTAGGGATTTGGCATGATCTCACCCATTTGTTTTCGGTAGTTATTGCCCACACCTGACTGGGACCAGAAGGACTATTAATTAGTAAGTATGTGCAACAAGCTCTTCTGTCAAGTTTTAATGATGACAGAGCATGTTCTTGTTGTACAATACGCTTCTGTATCATTCTCAAAATATTTTTGTAGTTATATATATATATATATATATATATATATATATATATATATATAAACCGATTGCTTAAATTTATGAACAAATGAGGGGAGAGGGTTATCTGTAACTTTTAGTACCGAATCTTATTTCATAGAATGAATGCCTGGTTTGGCCAGACCAGAACACGGCACAAAACCATGAAGTCACTGACAACAGGACTGAACCATGTTAGTAGGTGTAGACTACCTGGTTGGGGTCAGCGAGAGGATGCTAGCCGATAGTTACAGACCTTGGACGACATGGCTCCAAATCGTTTGCAATAGCTCAAGTGCATCCACTCTTTGTGTTCTCTCAAATTCTAATCTTCTAAATTCGTCATCACATTTACATTTCTCTTTTTATGTTTATCTCAATGGGTTATACTTCTTGAATAATATCGTCGAACACTAATTTCTCTGATTACTGCTAATATTTCTACTATCTCTACTACTATGGGGTTTGAGGTGACAGTTCGATCTGTATGTGCTAATCATGTATGGCAGCTTGAACTGATGGACGAACTTACGTACGAAGTTCTACGTTATAACTGACTGACTAACTGAATGCCAAATAACTCGCTGTTATGTTCAACGTTTCTAATGTTTACTTATCGGAAAGTGTGCCTTATATTGATTTCCAAATATATTAATTTTTTACAATAAACGCCTTAATCTGCGTTTCTTTAATTTGGCTTATTTTAAAAAACAGTCAAATTAAGGTTTTCTGAGACTCACCGAGTGATATACAGTGTTCTGGAGTTGTTATAATCTCTGAGGTTGTAAAACTTTCATATATTCCTTTGAACATCACCAGAACGTACTTCATAGAGAAGTGAGCTATTGGTCAATTGTAGAGTCCTCTTCTTTTTGAAATTGGTGTTGATAATGTTCAGAAGGTCAATAAGTGCCAATAAGAACCAATTTATCTACCTCAAAGATCACAATAACTCCGACATCTTCATCCGGAACTGTCAATATTAAGATACAGTGTGTAGTTGTGGAATTTATTTCGTACAGTTACCATAGTACTTGTATATGCCTGCAATTTATGAATCTAAGTGATTTAAAATGCTCATATCTTTCTAGATATCATTTTTTTTGAAAGCTGTTAAATTCTGGGCTGACCGTAATTAGACCACCATTGAAAACCAAGAAGTACTTGACAGCTGTTTCTCAGTATGCGACTTTGCGATAGTGCGTGACTATGTATTGCCTGTTTTACATAATTCTCTCATATCTGATATGTTTATTCTCCACTGGTCACGGTTTCTCACTTGGACTTGTGGAATTGCATCTAAAAGTCAGTCACATATGAGCACAGGATTGCATATCCACCCATTTGTATAGAGGTTAAGAGTTTTTGTGCAAGACGGATAATTATACTGCTTGTGGTGAGGTCGTATATTCGTACTGCCGAAGGTCCCATACTAAAAGGATACCGCCGTCCAGTGCGCTTAGCTTTCAGTGATGGTCATAGTAAGGTTTTTTCTAGATATATCAAAATAGCATCATTGATAATATGCTCTCGAATTCCCTGATACGACCATGATTAAGATACTCTTTCCCTTTCAAAATGCTCCCATATGGCCACTCGTGTACGGCCACCGCCAAGGACGAAAAGCGAGTGTTTTTCGCTTTAACTTGCTTAGTAGACACTGAGAATCCACCTAGAGGAGTTGCAAAACCCTAATTCCAAATTAATGGCGCCTATGTGCTCCAGGATCTTGACGAGACAAATGGCGTACAAACCTAATATTGTTGGTTACCTGTTGACGTTGCTCCACTGCCTTGTAGATAAGATCTCTGGATCAAAAGCTATTAAAAATGTCTCCTTAAAACAAGAACATACTTCGATTAGGGCACCTGGACGGTGTTTCATCTTTACGCATAGATCATCAGCTTGTTTGGCGCCTCTTTTGTACCACTGCATATGCTTAGATAAAATAAAACAGTTGATATCATGTGCATTGTACAATGCAAACTTCAGTTTAACCTACTCACCTTATTCGACTCAAAATTTATGTAAATGTGTTACGCCTGCACGTAAACACGTCAACTTGATATACTTGAACTATTACGAGTTTACCTAGTCGGAAAACGAGAGAGAGGATCGAGGATCCGGCGACACTACATGCTACTCAAATCCGATTATCTCAACCACCATATTTAGTAAAAAATAAGACTTGATATGAAGTAGAACTTGTATTCTACAAGCATCCAGAAAGTACGAGGTCCGAATCCAGAAGAGAATCGGGATCCGGGACTGAGCCCTGGTCCTGGTCGTGGTCATAAAATATTAAGGATAATGCGTATTTATACATTTTGATCGAATCGGAAACAGCATCGAATTCTGTGACATTGACAGTTAAGACGACCAATAGGAAGTAACATTTGAAGTTACATTGATAGTCTGGATGACCAATAAGAGACAACATTGAAGTATTTGACTTTGACAGTTAAAACGACCATAATTTTTGACCAATAGAAATCGACCAATAGGATTTGACCAATAATTCTCTTAGGATATTGGATGAATATCCTAACAAAATGGTGACATGATAATTGAAATTACACAAACTTAACGACATATTCTGTTTGTTTTTATCTCACTAAATTTTATTTAGAAATATAATTTCTTATTTGTTGCTACTCTTTTTATTAATTATTAATTCGTTACCTATCTAGTTTTTCTCCAAAATTTCCAATGTTGCATTACGACGGATTACGTTTATTGGTTATCATTTCCCATTGACATGTCCCATGAAATTTAACCAGCGTTTGGTGTCATCATTTTCCACTGAAATCGCCAATAAGAAATCAATAAATCAAGAGGATCCTGTCAATGTACAATGGGAATCAGAAAAACCTAAACGTATTTGGCCTAATCAATTACCTCCATTGATTGAAGCTGTTACACCGCCTTCTTCAACAACTGTAGCAGCTACTTCAAAAGAACCATTGATTAAAGGTTTTTTCAAAGGTCAAGTTAATCTAGTAAGCGTTTGATTGGTTTTCATACTATTATTGCTACTACTACTACTACTAATACTACTGCTACTATTAATAATACTGTAGTGAACGAGAACACAGGTAGGGCAACCGAATTGTATTTAACGGAAAATACAGAGTTACTCAGTAAAATCGGAAAACCATATTGTAAATCGTTCATTTGCAAAATATCAGTTCATCGTATCAAAAACTGGACTGTTCCTGTTGCAAACAACATCAATTCATTGTCACTCACTATTCATGCGTTTCATACAAATTCCATTGTGTTCTCCGCTCTTCTTCCTTTCTTGATCTTCCCCCATCTTCCGCTGCCAGACATTACGTTGACACTCACGCCATATACTACTTATAAGTAGCTCACACCACAATCCTACTTACAATAATGTTACTATTTTTATCATAAAATAATAATAATAATTATATTACTTTGAAATCATGAATGAGTGATTGTTAGGCCACCATTAGAAACCTGGAAGCACTGGAAGGTCGTTTCGTCCTGGTATGGGACTCATCAGTAGCAGTGCGCATCCACGACTCCTGCTACTCACAGGATTCGAGCCCAGGATGTTCGGTCTTGAGCGCGAACGCCTAGCATCTGTGCAACTGGGCAGGCATCCAACAGTGTTAATGTCTAACTCTGTTCAATCTAGGGATTTAGCACGACCTTAACCATCTATCTATCTTCGTTAGTTATTTCATACACCTGACAAGGTTGAACTAAACTGGTCACGTCTTCTCACTAGAACACCGAGAAATTCCTCCTGAAGCTAGTCATTAGTGAGCACATTATACGATTTTTTATCATAGAGTTATACAGGTTGCGAAAAATCATTATCTGACATGAGAAAAAATGGTTCATACGAGTGTGTGTGTGTGAGCCCATTTGCATCAAGCTAAGCTACATCTCTTACTATCCTATACCATACAATGTCTATACCATAAGCTATATAGAGCTCTATAGAACTGAAGGTTTTTTCCTCTGAGACCAGAGGTTTGTTGTGATGAACATTGTGGAGATAGTTTGGCATTACTTTGGCAAGTTTTGCTGGATAGTTGTTCATATACAAATTTAGCTAACAGGATAAGTCAAATTGGTCTGTTGTCTGCTGTGCATGTTGGATTGATTGACGCGATCATGAATCGGAAATAATCACTATGAATATATGTACCTAGTGTATATAAATCGTGTGGGGATGGTCTAGGAGCGTGTCAGGTACCAGTATGTGTGGTTGCGCTACAAGATTAAGCTATACTGTTCACAAGTTGTGAGAAGACTGAGGCAGGCGCGATAGATTGTATTTAGCAAATTTACACTCTTAGTCAATTAAAAACGAAAACATTACATTGAATACTTACTCTATTTGCACACCATCTTTGAGTCATGACTTCCAACACTCCATCATTCTTCCATTCCTGCTGTTGCTTCCTTTACTTCCTGTTGTTGGTACTCCATTTACTTCTTGCTTTTGCTCCATTTGCTTTCCGTTTTTGCTCTTGTGACCGTGAGACTTCTTCTTCTTTCACGTCTCTTCTTATACTACTTATATCGTTCGTATAAGTAGCACACACCACAGTTGTAGTGTTAACATGTGGACAGTATGTCTGATTCTCCTGAAAACCAATACAAAATGACTCCTGCTCATATAATTGTGAATTATCTATTCATTGATTGTGAAAACACGAATACAAGATGGATATTGGTAAAAACTAATAATAACTTTTATTTATCTATTTATCTATTTACAGGAATTATTTGAATTTTTAGAATTAGAAACTAAACATCAAGTAGAAAGTTTAGATATGATGCATAATCAAATCAAACAATTTATACTTAAAAGTATGTGCTTGTGTTTTTCCCTTGCTCTTTCACTCTCTCTCTCTCTCTCAATGATTTACTGTTATGTATATATTTAAATTAAATGGTACAATCAGTTTTTTTCTTCTTCATAAAGATATTCTCTTGAACTGGAGTTTGGAACCCTTCTGGGCTGGGTTACTTCCGGTCCGAAGCCCGGAAAAAGAAAGAGGAGAGTTGATCAATGTAACCATTGATGATCGTGTAACCTCAGTTCATAGGATTACTATAGTCAGTTAATTAGTTAGTCAGTTAGTTAGTCACAACGTAGAACTTCATACTAACATACATCAGTTTAAGCTGTCATACCAGATTAGCACAGAGACGCGATTGTCAATTCGAACCTCATAGTAGTACAGATAGTAGAAGTATTTGCAGCAATTGGAGATATTAGGGTTCGAAGATATTATTATTCAAGAAGTAGAATCTACTGAAATTATTACGAATGCTCGTCAATTGATATGCTTGAATTATTTACGAGTTCACCTTAGTCGATTGGCTTTCGCCAAACTGCGTCACTTATGGCGTAGGCGAGATATCCGTTTGCTGAATAAAGGACGAGTGTACTGCGCAGTGGTTCGCTCCGTCTTACTTTATGGCTGTGAAACATGGCCAGTAAGAGTAGAAGATGTCTTCGAAACATTGCTCGTATATCGTGGGACACTCGAGTGAACAACGCTGTTATTAGGAATCGGGTGTTAGGTAAGAATGGCAGATCAATAGATGAAGTAATGAAACATTATCAGTTGAGGTGTTTGGAACATGTGCTGCGTATGCATAACCACCGACTGCCTCGACGAGCTTTGTTTCGTAGTGTAGGAGTAGATTGGAAGAAACCAAAACATGGCACAAATCCATGAAGTGTCACTGACAAGTGGACTTAGCCATGTCGGTAATTGTCGACTACCTGGTTGGGGTCCGCGAGATGATAATAATAATCGATGGTTAGATACCCTGAATGACATGGCTCAAAACCGTTTGCAATGGCGCCGGTGCACTCATTATTTGTGTTCTCTCAAGTCCTAATCTTCTGGATTCTTCAACCCCTCTAGTTTTGACTTTCTAAACTTTTCTCACTGAATCATACTCCTTGAATAATATCTTCTAATCCTAACCTCTCCGATTACTTCCAATACCTTTACTATCTCTCCTACTAGTGGATTTGAATTGACAATTAAATCTCTGTGTTGATGTGGTATGGCAACATGAACTGATGTACTTACTAACGTACGAAGTTCTACGTTGCATCTGACAGACTGAGTCGGTAAACGACAGCGAGGAACGATGATCCAGCGACACGACAGGCTACTCTAACTCGAGTGTCCCAAAACCCTATTCAATTGAAAAAGAAGACTTGATATGAAGTTGAATATGTATTCTGTAAGCATCCAGAAAGTACGAGATCCGATTCCAAAAAAAGACTAAGGATCCGGGTCATAAAGCCTTACAGACAGTGTATATTTATACAGTTAGGATGACCAACAGAATTAGACTTACAAAATAATTCTCTCAGGATATTTGATGAATATCCTAACAGAAATAGATTTAGAAAGAGAAAAATAGAGCTGATGACGAATTTAGAAGATTAGAATGCGGGAGAACACAAAACAAATGAATGCACCTGTGTCATTAAAAACGATTTTGAGCCATTTCATTCAAGGTCGCCAACCATCGATTACTATCATTTTGCAGGCCTCAGCCAGGTAGTCTACACCTACAAACATGACTCATTCCAGTAGTCAGTGACACTTCATGGACTTGTGTCATGTTTTTGTTTTTGGTTGCCTCTAGCTTTCTCCCAACCCACTCCTACACCATATCCGCCTTCATACCCGGAAAAGCAGGATTACTATAGTCAGTGAATAGTTGCCGTCTTCGGATCAAGGTAGCCTATCTGGAGGCTGGTTCATTGTCTCGTTCGCGTTTATCGACTAAAGTGGAACCGGTAATAGTTTCAAGCGTACCTAGTGACGAACATAACAGTTCTCTTGAATTCCGCCTGAATCCCTTCTGAGGTTACTGCTGGTCCCAAGGCACTACTACTACTACTACTACCGCCAGCTCATTATTCACATTTACATTTTATCAGTCATTTGTTAATCATTTAGCAACTGTTGTACATACAGATGAATGAATGCATATATATTCCGGATCAGTTATCAAATCGTGCTGTTTTATCCAATCACTCACAGTTATTTTTGAGTCGTTAGATTTTATAAACACACCAATCTTGATTTTTTTTCTGTTCATCTTTTCTAGTGGATAGTTATGAAATTGATCGAAATTGTAATCTATCCAAAGAAATGATACGTAGTCTCAATGAATTTGGTCTACTCGCTTTAGGCATAGATAAAGAATATGGTGGTCTTGGTTTTAATACAACTCAATGGGTGAGAGCATGTGAAGCAATCGGTTTAGATGGATCGATATGGGCTACAATCACTGCACATCAATCATTAACTGCTAAAGTTTGTACATGTTTTTTTTCTTGGTCAACATTTCAATATTGATTGATTATTGAACCGGGTTTTCTTTGGAAGACTTGTAATACTTTTCTTAATTTGTAACCATGAATCGATCAATGCTAGACCACCACCATTAGAAACCTGGAAGCACTGAAAGACGGCCGTTTCGTCCTGGTATGGGACTCATCAGTGGCAGTGCGCATCCACGACTCCTGCACCCCGCAGGATTCGAACCCAGGACCTTTGGTACTGTGCGCGAACGCCCTAACCGTTAGACCACTGAGCCGGTATCCGACGGTGTTAATGTCTAACTTGATCAAATTCACGGAGTTGCCCAACCTCATACATACCCTGTATACATCCGAACAGGTTTGAACTTCACTGGTCACGACCTCCCACTAAAACTCGGAGAAGATTCCTCACCAAGCTAGTCACTAGTGGACGTCCAGTGCTTCCAGGTTTTCTAACTAGTGCAATTAGTTACACAACAAATTTCTTTAGATGAAACGACTATCCAAGATAAAATCATTTACTGTTTATAGTCTTCGACTCGCTTTCACTTTACACTTTTAATGTTGACAAATATAAGTTTTGAAATTCTGAAAAAGGGATTGTGTTTTTATCTTGATGACTATTGATTAAGTGACCAATGTAGTTCAACCCTGTTGGGGGTAGACAGTAAGTACCAAAAACAAATGGGTGAGGTCGCACAAAAGCCCTAGATCAATCAGAGTTAGACGATTACACCGTTGGATGCAGGCCCAGTGGTCCGATGGTTAGGCGTTCGCTCACAATCATGAAGGTCCAGGGTTCGAATCCTGCGAGGTTCAGGAGTTGTGGATGCGCACTGCTGATGAGTCCTATACCAAGACGAAACGGCCGTTCAGTGCTCCCGGGTTTCTAATGGTGGTCTAACAATGACTGATTGATGATTTCAAGTGTGTAACAACATAAATCTCCAAAACTCTAACTGAAAATATTGATTAAGTGTTCTGTAGGAGACCAGATGGTCCGGAGTTCGATCTCTGGCCATGGCTTATGGATATGCTCTACTGAGTAGTCTGAGGGCGAAGACGTCTTTCTGACTGTAGAGAGGTGATAGCTCCAAGATGTTTTCCTTAGATAACCAGCACCTGGAGCGACGCTGCTGTCTTCTCACAAGGAAGAAAGGGGTAAAAGAAGTCGACTCCACGAATTTCGGTCTCCGGCGACAACGCTATTTGAAGATCGGAGCTACAAATGTAGAAACTTCACATAGAAAGTTCGTGCGTGACCGGTCTCAAGCAGTTATCCCTTGGGCTATGCAGTCACGTTCCCTGGTCGTTAACTTCAGCACTAATCCGATTTACGTTTCAGGTTCCTCAAGAATCACCCGTCCATGGTGTGGATCGCAGGGAAGTGACATCCGCTCTCATACTCATAAAAGCACTCGAGTTTAAATTAGTCACAATCAAATCCTTCCTGAAGCTCTTAATAACTCTAATTTCCACGACCAACCCTTCTTTCATTCCTTTGTCACCTCGTACCGCTAATGCTACCGATTTGAGTACACGAAACGTTATTCTTAGTCTCCTGAAACCCCGTTCTAAGCTACATGTCGGAGCTTTTAATATCCGGACCTTGTACTAAATAGGGCTTTCGGCATACTTAGCTAGGAGTCCCGCACTCAGAGGAAGCATCTATTCAGTCTACTGTTTACATTTTTTAACACTAACGAGTTATCAACTCGCTTTCACTTTACAATTTTAATGTTGACAAATATAAGTTTTGAAATTCAGATAAGGGAATTGTGTTTTTATATTGATGACTATTGATTAAGTGTTCTGTAGGAGACCAGATGGTTCGGAGTTTGATCTCTGGCCATGGCTTATGGATATGCTCTACTGAGGAGTTTGAGGGCGAAGTCACACTTCTGACTGTAGAGGGGTATGACAGAAGTAAGATGTTTCCCTCGGACAATCAGCATCTGCGGCGATGCTGTGTTCTCACAAGAAAGTAAGGGGTTAGAAAAGGTCGACCCTACATATGTCACACCTCACCCTACCCCACGGATTTCCATCTCTAGCGTTAGGTTCATTTAAAGAGTAGAGCTAACACTATACAATCTTTCCATAAGAACGCTGTGCGTCACCGGCCTCAAGCAGTTGTCCTTTGGGCTTTGCGTTCAAGCTAGCAGGTCGCTCAGACCAACAGTAATCCAGCTTCCTTTTCAGGTTCCTTAAGAAGCACTCTTCCACGGTGTGGGTAGTGGGAAGTGACATCCGCACTCATACTCGTAACAGCTCCGACCGTAGCTGCTACCTTGACGTGGTGGTCGGGCTTGCCTATCGTGATGACCCAACCGAGCTATACTGGCTGGAACATATGTTCCTCAAGGTTCTACCATGCCAGGCAGGTCGATTGGAGAACGATGAGACTAAAAGCAGCTACTCAAGGTCTGAGGGCGAAGTCGTACTGCTGACTGCAGAGGGGTGTGACAGCAGTAAGGTGTTTCCCTCGGACAACCAGCATGTGCAGCGATGCTGCCTTCTCACAAGGAAGGAAGGGTTAGAAAAGGTCGGCCCTAAAAATGTCACACCTCCCCTAACTCACGGATTTCCGTCTCCTTGGGTAAGGGTGCCCACTAAGGGCCTTTAAGAACGGAGCTAATCCTCAAAAAACATTTGATAAAAAGGCCATGCGTGACTGGCCTCAAGCAGTTGTCCCTTTGGCTCTGCGGTCACGCACCAACACTAATCTATCTTCCTTTTCAGGTTCCTCAAGAAACAACCTTCCACGGTGTGGGCAGCCGGGAAGTGACAACCGCCCTCATACCCATAACAGCACCAGAGA